GCGCACCAGCACTACGGATGCGATGAACGCTTTATCGGACCGCTCAATGTAGCCTTTCGCTAGCAACTCGTCAACTTCGTAGTCAATCACCGCCTGCATTGCTGGATTCCTCGGATAGTACCGCTATTTAATGGGCCGTTCATCCCTCATGCGGATCGTGTGTGTCGCCTGATGAGACCCCAACTATATTTGTGTTTGCGCCAAGTAAGCCGTCTATCCAAATGGACACCAAGGTATGTTTTATCATTTTTTATACTCTGTACATGAAATGTACAGAAGTATATTAGGTTTGCGGGAGCTGAAAAATGTAACAGGCAGAAGGCGTGGCAGACCCCACAAAGTATATATATTCTTGATCAGCATGACGAGACGAGTCGATCTAGCCCTGTCTGTCTGTCTGTCCGTCTGTCCGTCCGTATGAACACCTGGATCTCAGAGACTATAAGAGATAGAGACACCAAACTTTGCACAAAGATGCGCTATGGGGGTTTTCCCGATTTTCCATTCGTATAATCGCCTATATCTCGGAGACTATAAGACCTAGGAACACCAAATTTTAGTCCCAGATGCCTTATGTGAATACGCAGAAAATGTATATTTTGGAATTCCCCTCCCTCCCCCCTCTACCCCTCAAATCGTAACTCCCGTAATTCTTGGAATTTCGAACTTTTGCAAATACCCCCAGTTGGTTATTATGTGTCCGTATGCCAAGTTTCACTATGATAGACCGATTTAACGAGAAGTTATAGCCATAAATATATTTGCAGCTGCAGCGTTGCTCAAGCGCTGCTCGCGGCTGTTGTTGATGTTGCTGTTTGGTTTACTGCGAAAATGCTTACACAGACTCGAATAGATGCGCATAGGCATACATACACTCACACAGACGCAATTTCTATGTAAATGTGCAATTATAAACCCTTTACGAAAGTTCGAATACCGAGAGAGGTAAAATCGATCAAATTTTTTTTTTATTTTCCTAATTTTTTTTATTTTCTATAATAATTGTAAACATATGTACAGAGTATTTCAAAGTCGGGACACCCGACTTTAGCTTTTTTACTTGTTTTGGGAATATTAATGCGATGGAGGACAAGCATGATTATTTTGGGTAAAGGTGACATGTTTGCACTTTTGCTCGTTTACATGTATGCGCCAGTCTGCTAGCCCCTCTTCTATGGCCACGAAGTGAGATGATAAGAGTTCAGTAGCTCTTGTTGGGCACTTGGAGCGACTTAGGATGGCAGTATCATCAGCAAATGTCGAAATTGTTGTATGACTGTTTGACGGTATGTCTGCTGTGTATGTCTGCTGTGTCGGTCCAAGCACGCTCCCTTGGGGTACACCAGATTCAATTGGATAGTATTCGTACAGGAAATCTTTGCATCTAACTGCGAAACTTCTTTGCTGTAGGTATGACTCCAGTATTTTATGGATGTTCTGTGGAAGTAATATTTTGATTTTGTGAACTAAGCCATCCAGCCAAACGCGGTCAAAGGCTTGGGCGACATCCAGAACAACAGCGGAGCAATACTCTCGTTTTTCAAATGCATTTCGTGTCTTAGAGGTTATTCGCTTGACTTGTTCAATGGTTCCATGTTTTTGAAACTTGGCCGTTAATGACATTTGTAACTTCTCCTGCTTGGAATACGACAGGCGTGGTAGCTTTAAGATAATTGGTTAGTGGGAGCACAAAGCTATTTTTTGCTGGATGTGGTTTGAAGACTTATTCTAAATGGGCGGCAAATAGATTTGCCTTCTCTTCGTTGCTGCGAGTCCACTTTCTTCTTTGTGTACGTAATGGTGATTCACTCTCGATTGGTGGAAATAAGCCTGATTTAGCTTTCCACAATGGGAATCGTTTGCTGTTTGTGGAGAGTTGCTCCATATAGTCCATTGAGCTCGGTGTTTCTCATCTTCTAGGGCTCGCGTAGTAGATGGTTGGCTATTTTTAACCGCTCCTTTGAGTCAGGTGATCTGTGCGCTTACCACTCCCGCTGAAACCTTCTCTTATTTCGTAGCAGATCTTCAATATGCCTGGGAACACAACTGCTTTAGTAAAGTTTATAAGCTATGATTTCTGGAGTGGAATGTTTTGCCTCCAGTGACATTACAGACACTAATGCTTCAACTGAGGTATCTATGTCATCTTTGCAGTAATTGTTTGGGCAGCCATCAATATGGGAACTTACGTACTTCCTGTATTTAGGCCAGTCAGTTTTTCTAGAAGAATGAAGTTATGTCTTAATGTTGCATTTTGAATGGTGGGTGACCCTCAGTGGCGCTGGATAGAACAATAAAACTTAACGTCGAAGCAAGTGTATACCGTCGCGGCTGTACTTAGACTTACTTCCAATTTTAAAATTCTTCTCTTACATCTCTGTCCGTCGGTATGAACGAAAGGATCTCAGAAAGTATAAGGCTTAGATTAACCAAACTAGAATGTAGAAGAGTATATTATGTTTGCGCGAGCCGGAAAGTGTAATAGGCAGAAGCAGGCGTGACAGACCCCACAAAGTATATATTTTCTTGATCAGCACGACAAGACGACAAGACAGACATAGATCATGTCTATCTGTCTATCCGTCCCTATTAGCACCTAGATCTCAGAGACTATAAGGGACAGACACCAAATTTTGCACAAAGATGACTTATGTGTGTATTCTGTTATATTTTTTTATACCCTGTACCCGTAGGGTAAAAAGGGTATATTAGGTTTGTGAAAAGTATGTAACATACAGAAGGAAGCATCTCCGACCCCATAAAGTATATATATTCTTGATCAGCATGACGAGAGAAATCGATCTAGACATGTCCGTCCGTCTGTCCGTCTGGGTGAACGCAAGGATCTCAGAAACTATAAAAGCTAGAATAACCAAAGTTGGCATCCAGATTCTCCTAGGTCCGAGAAAGGACGAGTTTTTTTTTATTTTTTGGAATTTTCCCCCCCTTCCCCCGCTACAGAATTTCGTCAATAGCGTCCACATTTCAAATGCTACCTAAACCAAACTTTGCACACATAATTTATATATAATTGTCTACTGTTGTTCAACTATTATTAAATTCGGTCAATTCTAAGAAAAGTTATTAGCCGTGTTATTAGTCGGTGCCACAGATGGAATGATTTCATATTTTCGCACTCCCCTCCATGCCGGCTGTGACTGTCGACACTCACATTTAACTGATTAATTCTGTAAAATCCTGTAACGCACTCAGCTGTCAGCAACAACTGACTGTCGACGTTCACATTTGATATTTAGATATTTATTTATTTAAAGTTAATAGCAAATGATACTGGCATTTTGTATAACAAAAGAAAAAGAAAACTTATTACAGTACTAATCTTAATGGGGTATTTTAGTCGCCAAAATAGGCCGCTGTGCCCCGACTCACAGCGAGTGATTAGTATTGCATTAGTGCAAGTGTATTTAATGATGATTAGTTAAGTAAAAAAGGATGTTACTGCTTAAGTTACTAGGGGATTGTATAAAAGAAATTAAATGGTAGAGTTCATTATAATTTGAACACAGAACACGAAAAGGAGAGTAAAGGGCGAAATTTGACGTACAGCGCTGAAGATGTAGAGGCCGGAAATTTCTTGAAGGTCTAGAAAGAACTACGAAGCTTATACGATGAATTAGGTTGCCTGAAGAGATTTCTCCCGCCAGTAGCTTATAAATAAAAACTACACCATGACAGGTTCTACGATCGTGCAAGGTAGGGAGATCGATCAAACGTAATCTGCCACGATAAGGTGGCACACGTCGATTGGGATCCCATTGAAGGCCTCGCAAGGCAAACAATAAAAATTGCTCTTGGACGGACTCAATCATTTCCTGGTATTTTTTATACTGGGTTGACCATACACATGAACAATATTCCAACATGGGACGAAAATGTATAAAGAATCTTTGACTGACTAATTTTGTAAAAATCCTGTAACGCACTCAACTATCAGCAACTGCCGACTGTCGATGAGTACATTTGACTGACTAATTTTGTTTTAAATCTGTAACTAACTAACTCTATTGTGTTTTGGATTCTGTGTGTGAATGCTAGTGTTTTTTTAAGTATACATTTAGTAATTTCCTAATTTAATAATATTTACATAACATATGCAAAATATTTTTGATACAGATTGATCAGAAAAACTATAAGGTGAAATGTTTTTGCTAGTGTTTTTAATCAAAACTCCTGGAAAAACAAACGAGATTAGAAATCGCCCAAAAGCGCATCGGAACGGTTTACCTACCAATTATTTTATTTGCGTGTTATTCTATATGCAAGGCCCACTCATTCGCTCAAATTCGCTCGTGACCCACCGTTTGGGAAACCCTGCACTAGTTGGATTCATATATCAAACATTTTTTTTCGCATGTAACACTGTTTTACGATACTAATGATGATGTGCAATATTATGGATTTGGAAATTTTCAAAATTGCAAGAATAACGGATGTTTTCGAAAATCACTAATAGCGAGGGAGTGGGGGGTGCCTCGGAAAAAATTAACAAGCTTGATGTTTCTCGGACTTGGGAGAATCTGGGTACCAAGTTTGGTATTTCTAGCTCTTGTACCCTCTGAGATCCTTGCGGACAGACTGGCAGTTGTACATTTTAATATCAACCTGTCTTGGCTTCTCAATAATATATATAATTTGTGGGGTCTACCACGCCTACTTCTATGTGTTACATATATTCGCACAATACTAGTATACCCTTTTACGCTTTGGGTGCAGAGTATAAAAATGTTCTAATACACAACAACAAATGCTCAAAATATTGGTAATAAAACTTATGAATTGAGGCATACCTGTATTAGTAAGCTCAAATGGTGTCATTTGTGGACCTGGGTGTAATCTTAGTGATCAGTCTGTATTTGGGATGGGAATAAAATGTATCGTTCTTTCCATGAGGGTCGTGAGGGGAAGGCTTATATGCTAAGAACAGGTTAAAATGTTACGTTTTTATATCAGTATGGTATTTAGTTTATTACCGATCTTACCTGGAAGTAAAATGATTCCAAATGTCCAAAAAAGCTCCATCCAGCATAAAATTTTTTCTCTGTACTTCGTTGGTTGAAACTCTCCCAAGTAAGGAAACACAATGCCCATTGTTCCAGCCACACTTTAAATTATGATTAGTCATTGAAATAAAGAAGTATTAATATAGTGTTAATACAATTACATAAAATTATATTTAAAATTATTATCTAATAATAAAAGGCATAAAATATTCCTGCAATGCTGGGCGTATTGCTATAATTACTTTGCTATGTACGTAACAATTTACAAGGATACTGCTTGTTAATTATAGCTACCTTATCGTTAAAATTTTGCAAATACCTCAAGTTATTGATTATGATTCATTATGCCAAGTTTAATTATGATACCCCGATTCTAAAGGAAGTTATAGCCATACACATATGTTCTCACCGCTCAAGCACTGCGCGCAGCTGTAACACACAGGTATGCATACATTCACATAGACACAATTCCTAAGTTAATGTGCAGATGTACACGCTTTATGTAAGTTCGAATACCCAAGGAGGTAAATCGACCAAAGAAAATGTTTGCAATATTACAATTTCGTTACTTTTTAACCAACTTCAAAAAAGGAGGAAACCATATACATAGGTCTTAAATCATATCAAATGTTCATAGGTTTTGGATATAATGCGAGGAAACCCGGTAGATGAGACAAATTTAAATGAGATATCATTTGAAGTAAAATTTCAATATCAGTATAGTTCCGCCGAAAAAATCGACCCTACACTCCAATAAGAATCGCAGATCAAACAAGAGAGAACGCTACAGTCGAGCAAGCCCGACAGTGTAATACCCTGTACCCAGGTAAACTTCCGTCACTGAGTTATATGCGCCCATAGCAGCAGCAAAAAGAGGAAAAAGAAGAGCGAACTTGTTGCTGCAGTTTGTGGGGGTTGTACTGTAGAGAATTTGTTTCGCTAATAACTTTTCTCAGAATTGACCGAATTGGATAAACAACTGTAGACAATTTTATATAAATTATGTGTGCAAGGTTTGGTTGAGGTAGCATTTGAAATGTGGACGCTATTGACGAAATTCTGTAGCGTGGGAAGGGGGGTAAAATTAAAAAAAAAAAAAAAATAAACTCGTCCTTACTCGGACTTAGGAGAATCTGGATGCCAACTTTGGTTATTCTAGCTTTTATAGTTTCTGAGATCCTCGCGTTCATCCAGACGGACAGACGGACGGACAGACGGACGGACATGTCTAGATCGATTTCTCTCGTCATGCTGATTCAGAATATATATACTTTATGGGGTCGGAGATGCTTCCTTCTGCATGTTACATACTTTGCACAAACCTAATATACCCTTTTTACCCTACGGGTACAGGGTATAAAAATCAGAACAGACAAGAAAGGAATGCTAAAGTCGAGCAGGCTCAACTCTTAAATACCCTGTACCACCCCACAAAAAAGTAATTAAATTAATTAATTAATCAAATTTAATTAATTAACTAAATTAAATATAAAATATTCCATGCATGCATACATACATTTACATTTACATCAGAATCGTGCCTTATGCGTGTTTGTGTACTTGTACATATGTATGTATGTGTGCATTGGGCCTGGTTATATGGCTATAACTTTCTTTCCGATCATTCTATCATAATGAAACTTGGTATACGGATATATAATCACTAACCTAATGTGACTACCAAATTTTAGTTCAAAATTCCAAGAATTACAGGAGTTATAGAAAATTGTTAATAGGGGGGGAGTGGAGGGGTGGATCAGAAAAAATGAACAAACTCGTCCTTTCTCGGTCTCAGGAGAATCTGTATACCAAGTTCGGTTATTCTAGCTCTTATACTTTCGGAGATCCTTGCGTTCATACAGACAGACGGACAGACAGACGGACAGACGGACATCGCTATATCGACTCGGCTTGTCATGCTGATCAAGAATATATATACTTTGTGGGGTCTACCAAGCCTCCTTCTATGTGTTCCATGTGCACTCGCACGAAACTAATATACCCTTGTACCCTTTGGGTACAGGGTATAAAGATATTCGCAGACGAGAATCTTAAGAACAGCGTGATGAACGTTTGTGACAAAATATATTGAGAAGAAGAGCTGCACGAAAACTGAATAAAAAGTCATTCAGAGAAAGCGACAGAAAGAAGCAGTAAACCAGTAGCCTAGCGCTCAAATATACTTGTACATTGCTTCAATTATACGGAGGTCGACTCATATTTAAACACATAAGTTAGTGTACTTCAGAACTTAAGATCAAAAAAAAAAAAAAAAAAAAAAAAAAAAAAAACAATTTTAACAAAAAACAAGTAGAGAAGCTAATGTCGGATGTCCCGAAATGAAATACTATATGAAATACTCTGTAAATATGTTCAGAATAATAATTATTATTAATCGAACTCACGTAAAAGGTGTATAAGTGCACATTTACATAGCAATTGCGTCTATGCGAGTGTATGCATGTCTATGCGTGTCTATTCGCGTACCGGATACCAAGCATACATTTACATCAGAATCGTGTCTATGCGTGCTTGTATGCAATAAATAAATAAGTCAAAGCAGTAGCAACAACAACAGCTGGTGACAGAGCTTCGGCAGAGATTATGTTTATGGCTATAACTTTCTTCATAATTGACCTATTATGATGAAACTTGGCATACAGACATTTAATCACTATCTGGACGTATTTGCCTGAGTACAAAATTCCAAAATTATTAGAATTATGGGAACACGAATTACGCGGGAGTGGGGGGTTGCATCAGAAAAATGAACAAACTCGTTTTTTCTCGGACTTAGGAGAATGTGGGTACCAAGTTTGGTTACTCTAGCTCATGTATTTACCGAGATCCTTGCGTTCATACAGACGGACGGACAGTCGGACATATGGCTATATCGACTCGTCTTGTCATCCTGATCAAAAGTATATATATTTTGAGAGGTCTGCTACGTCTCCTTCTGTGTGTTACATATGCGCACAAAACTAGTATAGCCTTTTACTCTTGAGCATCTGATTAAGAATATATATACATACTTTGCACAAGCCAAATATATCCATTTTATTCTACGGGTACAGGGTACAAAGACAATCGAGCAAGTCTAGCATTTAACAAGTAGAGAAGCTAAAGTTCGGTGACCCGACTTTGAAATACTCTGTACATATGTTTGTGTAGAATAATTATGCTAGTATGTGTGTGTCTGTGTATGTCTCGTTTGCCTCTGCAAAGCAGTAACAACAACATCATATATGGCTAAAACTTTCTGTTAAATCGACCTATCATTACGAAATTGTATGCCTATACGGACTTATAATCAATAACTGGAAGAACAATTCCAAGAAATGCGGGAGATATGGAAAATCAGTGATTGCCGAGGAGAGGGCGGAGCGAGGGAAATTCCAAAATACAAATTTTCTCTGTATTCATATAAAGTACCTGGGACAAAATTTTGTGTCCGTGGCTCTTATAGTGTCTGAGATATAGGCGATTATACGAATAGAAATTCGGGAAAACCCCCATAGGGGGGGGGGGGGGGGCAAAATCAAAAAAATAAAACAAACTTGCACAGTGCACACATATAAGGCGTCTTTGTGTATAATTTGGTGTCTCCAGCTCTTATAGTCACTGAGATCCAGGTGTTCATACGGACGTACAGACAGACAGACATATATCGACTCGGCTTGTCATGCTGATCAAGAATATAGATACTTTGTGGGGGCTGCCACGTCGCCTTCTGCCTGTTACATTTTCAGCTCGCGCACATTTCATGTACAGAGTATAAAAATTTTGCTTCAACCCATGATTGCACATTCTTTGTCGCTTTAAATAGCTTTTTTCACAAGTTTCCACCACACGATTTCGCGCACGTATACGAGGGTTCGTATAAATTCTTCATCTCTTTTAAATTATATATATTGTCATATTACTTATCATAAAATATGTATTCTGTTGCTATAAAAACCTATATTTCTTACTTGAAACCATTCGCAAAACGAATAAACAGGAATATGAGGTAATAAGGTGCAAGTGATGATACCAATCCACATATACCGTCTGCTAAGAGAGTTACAATTAATACAATGCGTCGACCTTTTGTATCTGCGAGACATCCCCAAAAATATGATCCTATCAGCATTCCCAGCATTGGAGAAGCAGATAGCCAGCCTTTATCTTTAGACGTCATATCAAAATCGCAAGTTGCAGTGGGAAGAACAAATGATATTATAGTTATTCCTATTGCTGTGTTTAGGTATATAAGACCACATATCGTAAGTAAAAGAAAATGAAATTTTCCAAATTCAGCTTGTAGAAGTGCATCTTCATAGTCGCTTCCTAAATCCTCCAAAAAGTCAAGACCTGGAAGAAAAAGTAGTAATAATAATTTAAGTATGAGTATTAGATTAATGCGAATTCATCGATATGGGCGTGTGTTTCATGTGTTCCGAACAAACTTAAATATACAGGTGGGAGGTTTCAAACCTCGCTTGTTTTGCCAGTATATTCGATAAAAAACATAAACAAAGACATGTATCCTCTTTAAAAAAAAATCATCGGAATATACAAGTAGGTAAACCTTACAGTTTTTTTGAACAATCTACAAGTATATCAAAAATAGTTTGCATATCCTCTGTAAATATTATTAAATTAGCAAATTACTAAATGTGCACTTAAAATACTAGCATTCACACACAGCATCCAAAACAACCAAGAAATAGGCTCAAATAGAACAAGTAAAAAAGCTAAAGTCGGGTGTCCCGACTTTGAAATACTCTGTACATATGTTTACAATAATTATAGAAAATAAAAAAAAAAAAATGGATCGATTTTACCTCTCTCGGTATTCGAACTCACGTAAAGGGTTTATAATTGCACATTTACATAGCAATTGCGTCTGTGTGAGTGTATGTATGCCTATGCGCATCTATTCGTGTCTGTGTAAACATGTGTGCAGTCAACCAAAGCACCAGCATCAACAACAGCCGCGGGCGGCGCTTGAGCAGCGCTGCAGCATCAAATATATTTATGGCTATAATTTCTCGTTAAATCGGTTATGTGGCATACGGACACATAATCACTAACTGGGGGTATTTGCAATTTGAGTTCGAAATTCCAAGAATTACGGGAGTTACGATTTGCTCGGGAGAGGGGAGAGGCAGGGAAATTCCAAAATACACAAATTTGGTGTCCTTACCGCCATAGGGGGGAAGTGGAAGGGAAAATCAAAAAAATACAACAAACTGGCACAGCGTACACACATAAGTCATCTTTGCGCAAAGTTTGGTGTCTCTACCTCTTAGTCTCTGAGATCCAGGTGTTCATACGGACAGACGGACAAACAGATCGACTCGTCTCGTCATGCTCATCAACAATATATATACTTTGTGGGGTCTGCCACGCCTCCTTCGGCCTGCTACATTTTCAGCTCCCGCAAACCTAATATACTTGTACTCTTGCACCTTTTATGTACAGAGTATAAAAATAGATTTTCGAACATCACATTTTCCTGAGTTAAGTCAAACGAAAGTCAAAGATAAAATGTATATTTGACGCAATTCATGTTTCAAATAAGTACCAAATACCTGGGCATTAATTATACAAACTAGAGGATAATTGTGTGACGCCGATTGGAAAGGTCTATTTGTAAGCAAAAATTTGAATGGTCATAAACTGCTTTTTGTAATATCTGAACTCGATTTTAAATGCTAGGTTTTGCACAACATAGATCGTCACAACAGGGCGCAATTTTAGTCCAATTTATGGAAGCACACTCCGACATTGAGCAAAATTCCAAATGTTATAAAAACTATAAAATAATAAATAAATCTAATTTTTAATAATACAAGTATATTGCTTAATTCTTAAGGGGATCAGATGCTTTTTTCAAACATTTGCCTTGTATTTTCCAACATTTAATTGGCATTTCCGTAAATGTTTTTTTTGAGATTTCAAAAACAACTGCTGCCAAAACCTGCAGAGATTTCTGTAGCACCCCTGACAGTGAACTAAAAAAGCAATAGCAATATAAATCTAAGGAAAACTTGTTTTTAATAAATCGCAAATAAATGGTAGTCGGCGAGAGCTGAGAACTCTATAAAATGTTATCCAATCCAAGGGGGAACAGCATAGCCTGATAGATGCGTGCCTGAGGGGTGCTCAGTCTGGATACAAGCCAGCAATTTCGATAAGAAGATACAAAAATGCTCCAAAAGGCAGAGGTCGCAGAAACGCCGCCACAACTAGCGGAGTAAACACGATCTCAGCAGCCTCTGCATCAAACTGCACCGCTGGTGTCCAAGACATGGTCAGCAAGGATGGTTTTATTCTGAGACACTGATGGGCAGGAGTCAAAAACGAGATGCAAGGTCGATTACTGACGGACTTGGTGATGAGTGGAGGACCACCACCAACTTGTGGTGGCATCAGGGCAGAGTTAAGGCCATTGATTGTCAAGACTAGTGGTCGGCCGAGTCGTATTAAATCTCATTGCAGCACTCGGAGAGGTATATTCAGGTGCAAAACTAGTTGCGGTGGACTGGTACGACATACCCAGCAGACCACGTGCCAGGGTCAGGGTGTCGGCAAAAACAGAGAAACCAGACGAGATTCTGAATGTCTTTTAGATCTGCAACCCTCAAATGAAAACGGACGACTGGAGTGCGGTCAAGGTAGAGGAGGCGGAAGGGACCACACGCCAGATCGTCCTAGTAATTAATAAGGAATTGGTAGATAAGTCGGTAGCCATATGGGTCTACCGAGGAGATACAGCGAGTTGCAAGTCAACCACAGAAGACTGAACTTGCAGATGCGCAGCCGGTCGTTCATGAAAATCGTGGAACGGAGGGAATATCCAAGAAAGATACTCTCGATAGGACAGTGGTGGAGATGGATGTAGATGACCTCTTAGCAAAGACGATGTCGACGTAGTCCTCTTTCAGGAACCTTGGGTATGCAGAGGCAAGGTTTCTGGATTGAGGATAATATATACCCCCCTTTTTATAAGACCTTACTCAGTGTTCATTTTTAGTACTTTAATTCAACAATTATCATTTCAATCTTTATCAAAGCAGAAGTCATTTGAAGGCATATTATACAAATTTGAATTCAATTAATTATAAGCATTAATAACATTCATATTATCAATTCTTACAGCTGCGATATTAATGTGCAATCGATTTCAAAAACTTATAACATAATTATTTCATTATAATTTCTTTACTTTCATTCTTAATTTGTTAAGCTTGCAACTCCATATTTTAATTGTATTTTCTTTCTAGAAATTTGATTGATATTTTTTATGTTGTTTCAAAATTGGCACAATTATTATATTTTTATACCCTGTACCCGTAGGGTAAAAAGGGTATATTAGGTTTGTGCAAAGTATGTAAAATGCAGAAGGAAGCATCTCCGACCCCATAAAGTATATATATTCTGACTCAGCATGACGAGAGAAATCGATCTAGACCCGTCCGTCCGTCTGTCCGTCCGTCTGGATGAACGCAAGGATCTCAGAAACTATAAAAGCAAGAATAACCAAAGTTGGCATCCAGATTTTCCTAGGTCCGAGAAAGGACGAGTTTATTTTATTTTTTGGAATTTTCCCCCCCTTCCCCCGCTACAGAATTTCGTCAATAGCGTCCACATTTCAAATGCTACCTGAACCAAACTTTGCACACATAATGTATATGTAATTATCTACTGTTGTTTTTATTCAATTCGGTCAATTCTAAGAAAAGTTATTAGCAAAACAAATTCTCGCCAGTACAACCCCCCCAAACTGCAACAACAAGTTCGCTCTTCTTCTTCCTCTTTTTGCTGCTGCTATGGGCACATATAACTCAGTGACGGAAGTTTACCTGGGTACAGGGTATTACACTGTCGGGCTTGCTCGACTGTAGCGTTCTCTCTTGTTTGTATAAGGCTTTATTCTTTACTCACGATCGTTATCTGTTGCTCTCCAATGCATGCAGTGGTGCTTTACTTCGTGTTCATCTACATTTATATTATTCTGTGTCAAAATAAGAAAACATAAATAATTGGCCAAAAGAAATATATGTAATTTAAATTCAATTTCAAACCACAACTATAAAAGTTTGCCTTTTCCAAATTAAGTTGGCCACGTTGTGCTCGGCAAAAACAATTATGCTTTTTCAGTTACATGTGCCAGGTTAGCTGATCAATACGTCAGTTTATCAATATATTCCAAAAGCACAATAGTAAAAGCTCATTTGCAAATTCTCCTCGTGTTGTATCCGATATAGGTTATACCTCCAAATTGCCACGAGAAATTTATATACATATGTTCATAAATATGGTATCTCAGGAAGGAAAATATTTTCGTTGCCTTGGCACAGGAATAGGCCGATGTAAAAAAGAATGGATAGATGGTTGGATATATGGATAGATGGATAGATGGATGGATGGACCCTAACACAAGAAGATCCATTAAGTTACTATTCTCACTTGATATCTAATAGTTATTTTCTTGTTTTCGACTTAATTTATGGTAATATGCTTTTTTTTATTTCACCACGTGTTTTCTTTTAAATGCAATTTGTTCTCTTGCGGACTTTTTTTTATTATTTCTTTTATTATGTAGCAAAACAACTTGCCTTTTCGTTTGCCAATATCCAATTGATCTAAGTGTTCTCTCTTCGTTCTCTATTAAGGCTTGACCGTAAAACCGTAAGAAGAGATTTGGTAATGAGAGCAAGCTTTTATCAGATAATTACTACCATGCGTTGTAATACATTGACTATCGCAAGTATACATACGCGTAGATGTATAAATTAGTACCAACCGTCACAGGGCAGGTTATTTTGAACTATTTTTAATAATGAGAAATAAACTGAAAAACGATATAAATTGATCTTTATGTTTTACGAAGATCCTTAGCATGAAATTTCTCTACCGAGTTCTTCCAATTCGTAACAGTGGTTACCTATTTTTCGTATGACTTTTGCTTTCATAAATTTTGACGCTAGTTGTGCATTGAATGAATTGACTTTGTTACTTTGAGCAAAATTTCCTCTATAAACATATGCTCCTGGATTAAAAACAATTGCCTTAGCTCTTAAACTGTATGTCTTTTTGTTTGTCTCATATGCTCGCTTTATGTTTTCTACTATCGTATGCCTGATCAACTGCAATTTATCTGATGGGAGAATTTTTTCACCTTCGCTTACAACATTTAATTTTGTTTTCAGTTCATATTCTTTGGCGTGTGTTATCATTGAACTGCCAAATAGAGCAAAATACGGTGAATATCCAATTGCGCTGTAATGAGAAGATCTTAAGGCAAAAGATATTTCGCGTATCTTGGAGTCCCATAAACGCTAATATTTTCCTAAATATGCTCG